ATTTCCCCCTTTTTTTGGGCCCCCCCCCCCCCCCCCCCGGGCGGCTAAAGCCCTTCGTACAAAATACTGTGTCACAAAATTCATCTAGAAAACTCACATAAATGAGCCCCATGTGTTAATAAAAAAATGCCCAAAAAATCACCCAATTCCCTTGCTGCGAGAGTTCTATGAGTTCTGTGAATTGATTTCCTGTACACACAACTTGGTTCATTTCCCCCCCTACACGTGTAGCACAATTGTTGGGGAATTGGGGACCAGGCCGGGCCCCGTATAAGTAGCACGTGACTTTTCAAAATTAAATCACAGTACATATGCGACCATGTGGAACAAGGGATTTCCTAAATAATCATTTGTTGGAATAGCATAAGAGAACATTTCCCAAACAAGAAAGTAACGTTGAACCATTACACTTTCACCCACATTCCATGGAATGCTCTAACAACTCGGTTAAATTCAAAACAAACAGATTCCCATGAGTCTACAGAGTAAACATGTTTCTTGGGCAACAACTTCAACCAGTAGAAGTGGACTTGTAGTGATATTCATCAATTGTCGAATAGATCAAACCTTCTGATTCTAGGCTCTCAATAGCTTCCCTGTCAGCGTCAAAGAGTTTAGTCGGTCAAATGTCAGCATATATTTCATAGTTGTCATTGTCTATGTTGAAGACAAAATTCAAGTACATAAATGTGGAACCTCTCCATCCATGCAAGTCTATAAAAAAGTTAAATGTGATATATCAATGTATTCCATTCCATCTCTAGTGTTTGTGTTTGTGACTTGTGTGTGCGCTGCGAGTTGTGTGTGTGTGTGTGTGTGTGAGAGAGAGAGAGAGAGAGAGAGTTACAAGATCTTTGCCATTGGAACTTTAAGTTGGGTTGCAATTTCATCCCGGTGCACGCCCTTTTCCTGTACACTGAAACATGGAAAAAGCTCAGTGAATAAGAACATAATCAAACGGAAAGACACGTAGCACAGTACTAAAATTTTCACAACAATGGCGAGATCAAATACAATAAAAAAGTGGATTATCCTACTTTCTAATTACATTTAATTATATGCTATTCCTATGATATTCTCTTATTTTATAGCATGTGACATTTATAATCTACAAGATATTGTAGATACAAAAGATGTGGATTTCTACACCTTGTAATTCTAATTTTGTACATAGATATGATGCACATTTCATGCTATACACCTTTGAGAATTCAGCAATTTTCTTGACAAACTTCCTATTATTCCCTAAATCATCAAGCTTCTCATTCAGAGCATCTGTACAAATTCTGATATGCGAATTGTATGTCGTTTTAGTAATATCAAGAAATCAATGCAGATTTTGCCACCCACTTTTCGTGTGTATAGAGCACACAAGGTGGAAGGTTTTCTTAAAACTGATCAAATTCTGAATTATGCTGTTAATAATTTGAGAGCGCTAATGCATCCTAAACTTGCTTGAGAAACCAATTGCAGTCCCATGTCCGTGCATAATAATAATCAACAACAACCATCATCACTAATCGGTAACCTTCAGAATAACAATTCTTGAAAGCCCAAAGTTCTTTACAATATACGGAAACTTGTAAATCCGTAGGAATATATCTTTTTCTACTACTTAGAATTCTTCCCTCAAGAAGAGGCCAATTTCAAATTATTTGACGTAATGAAGGTAAAACCATACATCAGCTTAACTTTATGTCCTTCGATAGTAACAAGAAATGAATCTCCCAGGCCAGTGTAATGCTCATGCACAGACACATTAAACCACATAGATGCATGCACCACTTATTGGGGAAAATGTCTATTATAAGCATTTTAGATGACTCACGTGCTTGAAGGTCGTTCCAGATATTCTATCACCAATTTATCAATGTTGTTGAGACCATCCAAGTTGTATTCCTGCGAGAACTGAATTGGGAAAGTAGATACAAGCATTAAATACTTGAATTTTGAAATAAAAATAAATAAATAAATAAAACCTGAGTTCTTATATTTACTAACTTGATTAGAAGTGGCCTTTTGGTTTCCATTTGATGGAGTGCTCAAAGTTGAGGAAGATGAAGCAGGGGTCAAAACGCCAGTCTGAGTTACAAGGAAAATATAAGACCAAAGCAGAATTTCGCCATTGAATAAAATGAACAAACAATAGAAGTTTCCAGTGCATGCAAAAAGCATCTGACAAATCATTGATAGAAGCGTCACCAAAAGCTTGAGTAATACCTGTAATCTGGCATTGCAGCTGTGAGCATATATACACTCAAGAAAGTGGTTTGCAATTTCATTATAGTCAGTCACAGGCCTGAACATGACAGTGGAAAAATTTAATTTCCCAACAAACAGGGATAAACAGGTAATGCAAGAAATGTGAGGGAGGTATTCCTCGCCTGCTTCAAGACTTTCAAGGATCACGTTTCTATGCAGATTAGATTTATCACAGGTATCATTGTCAAATTCATAAAATATTCTACGTGGACACCAACTCAAAATTTCTTTTAGGTCAGTATTTTCTGGTATTATTGTACACTGACTTCATCAAATCAATAATAAAAAATACAATCCTCCAACAATGATACACGAGGAACACCTGCACAATTAAAGCTTTGACAAAGACAGTATCAGCTAAAACATTTTCAACATGGTCTTCGATGTTCCTTTTGGCAGATATATCTATAGAGAGAATGGCTACATCATGGTTTTTGGTGGTGATGAATTATAATTAGCCAACGCCCTTCTTCTGTATCGAGGATCATCAAAATAAGCAAGAATACTATTTCTACGGAAAATGCCATTTGGGGGGATTTCAATCGAGATACCTGAACGGGGCATTAGTTCGTTCTCACGTCGAGGATCATCAAAATAAGCAAGAATACTCCCGCATTTTTAGCTAGAATATTTCACATTCTCGATCAAATTTATGAAGATTCACCCACTACTTGTTATTCTATAATGATAGATGAATCAAAAACTTTCAATTGAACTTATTCTTTCAATTGGTATTTTTGCGTATCCTCCTATTTTACAAAAATAGGAATTTATACGACTCAACTCCAACATAATGGCTCTGATATAGCTAGCCCTTTTAGGTACTTGAATATTGCCTAGTTGTTCGGGTCCATTTACGGTTATTGCTTCTGTGAACATAGTAGCTAAATAATCCCAACGTGTTACATAAGGCAAATATTGTATAATTGTTCGGTTTTCCGCAATTTTCTCCATTACGCCCATCTTATCCATTCAAATAAAAGAAAACCTAGCTATGAAATAGTCATGTCTTCATACTATTCTGGCAAATCTTGACATGAACAGTACATGGAAACATAATAAAAAAATATATAGGACCATTTAATCAAACTGTAAATTAACTATGAGTGCTTTATGCAAAGTGAATGAAAATAATTAACAGGATAATGCTATCATTTTGTGTCCCTTCAATTTTTTTCAATGTACTATAGACTTATTTTCATAGCAACTAGTGTGACTTTGTTGTTCACAAATAATGTGGCAAAAAACAAGATTTACTCTTAACTATACCGTCCAAGTGTCCAAAATGTGCTACCTTTTACAAGGAAACACAACATTGTAAAATGTTACTTTATAAGATGAACAGGACAATTGCAGTACATAGCAGCATATCTGAAGCGGATGGATGTGTTGTTATGCAGTGCGTGTGAGATTGAAGTAATTTGTCCAACGATACACACCTACAGTTTCAGAGGAGAACAAAAAGGCCCATATTCTACTTGATTGCAAGAAGTCAAAAACTATATAATAACAGTGTCGTGGGAACCTTGTCGTGCAAGAATTTTTCAGCATCACACTAATCTGATGTCAGTTACTTCATGCATTGAATCATCATGCATGTACAAAGGCATTGCCCTCGGGAAATGACATCTATCAGATACGGGACGATCAACTAAAGCAAGGCAATCTGTTACCTGATTGCAAAGACCACTACTTGCTTATTACCGTGAAAGCTTTTCAAGTGTCCATGAATCCGTACATACGTACCATCCCTAAAAAAAATATATATATAGAATTATAAATAAACATAAATTGCAAATCAACGAAAACAAAGAGCATAAAATTTTCCAAGCTTGGAATTACGATAATCCTTCGACTTCCTTTCTGTCCACAGCTTCGTTCACCCTACCAAGAACAATGCATAGAAATAGCATTAATCCATATGGAAGCAAAAAAGTACAGAAAAACAGCATGAGAACACGCACACATTGTGTGACCAATATGAAATAGGCACACACCATCTACATTAGGACTTATAGACACTTGCTTACAATGAATGTTTTATTCAGCAATTTGCTGGATGATGGGTGTTTATAAACACAAAATGAAACACTGTCATTTGTCAATACTACAGATATGTGAAAAAACAGCCAGTGTAAGAAGCATGCACGTGGTTATGGTTTGCCAAGGCTATATAAACTTCAAATACACGTGCGCACAGGTAATATTGAAAATGACCGCATTTTATTTCTACCGCTGTGCCACATATGCTTTCTGAAGGAACTACTTTCTATATTATTCAAAGATGCTGCCTTTAGGCATGATAAAGTGCTCCAATCCATTCTTCTAAAGAAATTGAAAAACGGAGAGAAAACATACCATCTGTTGCATCCAATGCGTCCTGTGCCATCATCAATCACAAAAGAGACATCTGTTACCCTTTCAGCCTTGTCAAATGCCATTCCCACTAATTTCACCTACAAACACAATATTGGAAAATAGAATTCCCAAGTTTCTTTACACAGAGACTCATATATTACTCCATCCCAAACTCAGTATGCTAATTGTATTCCTATCAATCATACTTTTCACCAGAACAACATTAACAGAAAAGGTTTTAAATGCCCTGCATAATACTATATATATTCAAAATCTCACAAATAGATAGATAAATCTGCACAAAACATGAGTCTAGAAAATATCAATTAATTTATCGGTCATAAAAAAAGTTAATAAATAACTTTCAAATCTCATAAGCAACAAATAGCAACTTTTTCTATTCATACTCACATTGGAGACAATGGCGCCATCAACAAGAAAATTGGATTTGTCATCGGTAGATTGACTCGCTTCAATTATTTGTTTCGCCGTTACTGGAACCATAGGCTGTGTATCTCGACTCTGCATGAAATTACGAAGAAAAAGTCAATCAAATTGAAATAAACTATAAAAATTGCCATTTAGAATCTTAGATTCAGATACATGAATATATTGGTGTACCTTGGCAGAGGTGGGGACTGGATCAGCCGATTGAGTAGACTGTGAATAGTTGAAGCCGCCACCTCCGCCTGTGAAGGCGGGCGCCGATTCGAATTGGCTGCTTGAAAACATCTGCGTGTGTGCTTTTCTGTTTGTGTGTGCGCGGAAAAGAGAGGAAGAGAACTGGACAAATTAATTTGGGGATGGATTTTATTTTAATGGAGAAATGAAGGTTTCCCCGCCATTTTCAGTTTCTTTTCCCGCGTGAATTTTTTACGCTAATGTGAGATGGCGCACTTTGCGAAGCCAACTTCAATTTTCCTCGAGTAATGTTATTAGTAGTTGTTCACTGTGGTGGCATACACATTACAGATAAATATTTGATGCGTTAATATGATAGTTTTTTTATTTATTAATGGATCAAATAACCACATGTCATATATATGTCAAGTAGGGCGACTCTCGCAGTGAGCGATTGCAAATAGCATTATTCATTTTCCTCACAATTAAGCCCCGGTTTGTTAGCGACTAAAATTAAAATTTGAGTAAATTTTAATAAAAATTGATAGAATATGTAGTTGAAAAATTGTAAATTCTATAAAATTTGTTGTTAAAATTAATTATGGACTTCCACTTAAATTTTAATCAAATTTTTTTATGGTAATGAATAGGGGCTAATTTTAAATTGCCGACAAAACTTTGAGGTGGCAATGAGATCGGATGAAGTCGGGCTAGAGCTACTCTTCCACCATACCGTCTCGAATTTCAAGAGCTGAAGTTGGGGATTGAACTCATTTTTCATCCTATTTCTCGACTTTAGTAATTTATTTTTTAAATATGGTTTAATTTTAAATAAATAAAAAAATAAAAAAGATAGAGTTGGATAAAATGGTGGAATGGAACTAGGTCGGGATATTCTTTCATCCCCCCCTAAGTGCAAGTGAACTCATCACATGTGGCATTTCGTCTTGTTTTAATGGTCACACGAGCTTTTCCTGTTAAAGTAAAGATTAAAGTTAAATGTTTTATGTATGACAAAACTTAAATTATAAAGGGATAATTGCAGCAGAATGTCACGGACCACAAGGTGATGACTTGAGGCTTGGCATGACATGGGAATGCCATGATACAAAGCGGAAACATGAAATAGACTTATGGCAAATAAAATCTAAGTTTCAACGGTACTTAGTGATGAGGGCATCGTCAAATTTAGTGGGAGAGTGACTTACGTCTCCCGTGGTTGCTACTGATACGTCCAGGTTGCGACTGGAAAATTCGGGTAATTTAGGCAATGCGTTACGACTGAACGTAAGTACCTGTAGTAGGGGACACGGGTAGGAAAAACTCAAGCACTATGTTAGGAGGAGCAGGCAGGACCAAAACAGGAATTGTGATAGGGAGACGCTGGCAGATTACGGCAGGGGACGAAACAGCAACACAAGCAGACTGTGTAGGCAGCCGTAGGTTAGGAACGCAGGCGGACGTCGACTGGGGACGCAAGGATGAAAATATGATTTTCTCGGGTGAAAACCAGATTCGTGGGGGGGGGACGCAATGCTGCAGATTGCGACTGGTTGTTTTGGATGCAAGTGTGTGCCAATTTAAGCCAATTGGACAACTTGCAAAATGAAAGCCAACATGCAACTTGACAACTTGCTTAAAGAAGCAAAATCTAATTTGGTCACCTTGATTGAGACATCTCCACTTGCACGCATGAGTGTAGATATCCACTTATATAGAAAGTGATATACCAATTAGTATAGAGTTGGAAATGTGCAGGATACAATGCAACAAGGCAACTTGTAAGTGCAGAGACATACTACTTACAAGGTAATCAATTCCAACTTGGCTACCTTATGGTCAAATGAGGTTTAAGACAACTTGCAACCACTGAGAGCCTTTGGATTAAGATTAATCCTAGTCATTGATGTCAATTTGCATACCTTGAGTTTGACTATAAATAGAGGGACTTGGTCATTTGTAAATCATATATGAATGATGTGAATGAATACATGAATTAGTAGAGAGAAAATTCTCATGGATTGAATGTGAGTAAAGTGATATGTTTGTAAAGAGAAAATTGTAGTAAGTTTGTGCATAGTTCTCTTACATTTATAGAAAGAAAATTTTGCCCAAATATATGTGTGTGCTCTTTTCCTCATAAATTTTCTATCTACTATCTCTACCAAATTTAGCATATAATTTAGCCTTATTTGGTTAAATTATTGTGAGGGTGTAAGGCTGACTCAACGCTATCTCGTGGGAACAGGAGTGTTGAAACGTTAAGATCGCACGATTCTAGCGTAATTCAAGTGTAACGAAACTAAACCCGTGATAAGAGGCTCCAAACCTTTCAAACACTAGTAGGCTTTTTTCAAACATTTGATTTGTTGCAACCGTCACCCCTAACCACTACAAACGTTGCAAATGAGGTCCTAATGAATTGAAAACATCCAACTAACCATTAGTGGACAAAAAAATTGAATTTGACTACGCTGTTAATAATTTTATAATGGGCAAAATAGTAACTTTTTATTTACCAAATTAAATCATTACATTAATTAAATTTAAAAAAACCCAAAAAAAAGGGAAAAAGCTGTGTCTTCTTCTTCCTCCCTTCGCCCCACCCGAACCAAAACCACCACAAATTGTTTTCAGTTTCTCAAACTGTGCAATAACAAACTCAAATTTCCTCTTACAATAGGTTCATTGCCCAATTCCCGCGCACTTTCATCGTCGTTGAGTTTCAATGCTTTTCAGCACCAAACATCTCTGATGACCAGCTATACGCTCCCGTGGAAGGAACTTTCCGATCACTTCTCTTCCCTCGAACAAGACCTACAGAAGTATGCAGATGCGCCGAAAGCCAAGCTCCAATGAATTTGGAAACTCAGACATCTCTGAAAAGTCCTTGATAACCGTAAGTCCTCAATCTCCAAGTCGATGTCTGTGGCCTTTGAATCATTGGAAAAGGCAACAAAATCTTCAAATTCTGGAGTATTATCGGAGGATCTTACCATATGTAAATAAAAAGTTACTATTTTACCGTTTATAAAAATATTATTAATGTGGTCAAATTCAAATTTTTGGTCAATTAACGATTAATTTGATGTTTTCTTGTGCCCGCATTTCGCTCCGCTTAACAGTCCTACTCCACTATTTTCTTGCATATATATTTAATAAATAAGTATCATATAGAATGAGTATACTTTTTCCACATTCCAGTGGACTACAGGGGCCTAAAGGCTAAAGCCTAATAGAAACAAAGCAGAGGCATCTTCTTGCATGATAGATACGTGTCCAATTATGTAATATTAAATTCACAAATTTTGCAAAATTTTAGTTCTCGGATATCACTTTTGGACCGGGTTTCGGATGGGTCAATCCTTAATTATTTTTCGACGTCTTTTATATCATCTCGAACGGAAGGCATCACAATCTTTTTTGAATCATAAAAAATGGACAACTAAAGTGGTCATACGACCTTCCTAAAAACGATTACTCCTTTTAGAATACTCTTCAAATTTTTTATATTCAAGTTCACCTTTAACGCTCAATTTTAAGGATATTCTCTTACAGCTTATTTGGGAGCGATTTTTTGCTCCAAAAAATTAATTTTTTAACCATTCTTTCACTATTCCGATCGTCATATTTCATTTTTTTCTCTCACAGGTGGATCTCACCTTTCTCCTAACGATCAAAAAATCAATTCTCAAAATCACTCCCAAAGAGGCTCTTAGTTAAAAATAAGATTAGACATAGTCCGATCATGTTCAGCTCAGTTCTAATGAGAACTAAATCAAATCCAAAATTTTCGGGTATTTAGCAAGTGGAACTATCGGATCCAAATTTAATTATGGAATCGTTCGGATTCAATTCTATTCGGTTCTCAAGTTCCATATTATAATTAAATTTTTTAATATTTACAAAGTTACATTAATTCAATTGATGATATGTTCAATCTTAGCTTTTAGAAATAACGTAGTCCAATTTAATGTGTTTTTTGCGTCCCTCTTTACAGAGTTCTTTATAGATTGATTGTTAAAATCACGAGAAGAGAAAGATAGCGAGCTCACAATAATTAAGAGAAACGTTTTCGAGTTTCAATTCGATTCCTCTATAACGGTAGAAATAGCACCACTGTAGAGTAATAGATTTGAATAAAATTTAGATCAATTTGATTAAGTTGACTTTGAACTGAAAAAAAAAAAGAAAAATCATATTTTTGGGTTTGAGCTAAATTCACTAGTTAAAAATTTATTTAGAAAAAATAAAATAATTTGACTTATTTAAAATAAATAAATTAAAAAAATTAGAAAGATTCGATTCTTTTTCGATTTTTCGGTTCTTAATCTAGAATCGAAAATTGAACCAAATACATTGGTTCTTAATTCAAATATCTGTTTGCGCTTTTAATTTAAGATGAACCGCTCAACTCGATTCGATTCGAGAATTTCGTTCAACCCTAATAAAAAATATACAAACTGTATACCATTTCGAAAGTCTTCTTGTGTATTTCGTAATCAACTTGGAGCCTCAAAATTTAGACCGACATACAAGTCGTGGGTTTAAAATTTGCCTATACTTCAATTTTCCAACTTTTGGGCCCTCAACCCATTTTTTTCCCACTTTCATTCAATCGAGTCCCATCATGAATGATAAAATTCCTATTTATTTCACATTAGTCCCTAAATAATTTATTTTAATCTGAATTTCCTTTTATTCTCGAATTAAAATTAAATTATAAAAGTTACGTCATTCAAGGCAATTTAGTTTTTAGGTCAATCTTGAATAAATTCATTTATTGTATTTTTTGCTTTAAAGTAGAAAAGAATTTTGAGGATTACACAATAATAGGTGTTACGCCTCATTTTTATGAGCCTCGGTACCGAGGTATCGAAGTGTCATCTCGCCACTCTGAAGCCGGTGAAATCAAATAGACCACCTCGACCTCCCGAAGCTTCTCACCACTCCGACCTCCCGAAGCTTCTCCAAAGTGGTACACCGATTCCTGTCACTGATCTGCCGAAGTGTCCCGTCTCCGAGGTCGGGTTCAAGTGGACCCCTGTTAGAAGATTCGCTGCCAATTTAAGATTTGCTCTGCATATAAGGTTTAAATTGATTTGACGTCCCCCATAAAGCTATTTGATGTGACTTATCAACTTTATGTCAATTCAACTTGGGGGAAACAAACTGTCCGCCCACTC